GGAGTTGAATGATAATGTTAAAAAATGGTTTATTAAGTCTTTTCCTTGTTTTAAAGGCTACTTTAGGATAACTTGCTTCAATTTAAACCATACAGCGTAATCTTGGGATTTCTCCATTAATTCCCATGAAGTATATGTTTAGAATACAAGTTTTCCTCTAAATGTTAGAAGGCTTAGTTGAAGGACCTACATTTTAGTGAGATGTGGTTCTCATTTGGGCCATTAATAATTCTGTCTTTTTTCAGCAGTGAATATGATGAACACAATATTGAAAAAATAAAATTATTTGAAATTGCTGTTAGATGTGAGAGCTGGTAGAGATAGTCAATCTCCTGTGAACTGGGCCTGAGGACTGCCTGAAATGCAATTTGTATCAGGCCAAATTCATGTCACCAGGCTACCCAACACCCCTCAAGCAAAACTGTCAGAAAATAAGGAATTATTTGTTTCACTTGCTAATTGGTCTTTAAAAAGTTGTGTTTCATTTTGAATCTGAATATGTCTGGCTTTAGATTCCAGCTATTACTTATTTCCTTGTGCCTGTTCCTGCTACAGCACTGATGAGCTGACCAAAGTGAGCCCTTTCCTTTTCTCTGCCCTATTTTTAAACTGTGGGCCAAATTCCAGTCCAAGTTTTATCAGTGCCATGCACTGAGATGAAAAACTTCTTCATTAATTCCTTATTTCATATCCAGGAATTACCTCTGCCCTTTTGCTGCAGTCATATACTTAGATACCTGCTAGGTTTTGACTATCTAATTTGTTACATGGACTATGAAGGTAACACTTTTGTATTCCTTACAATGTTTCCACTTTTCATTTTCAGAGGACAGCTTTTTATACAGTTTTTGCTGGATACCCCATTCTTGTCACTGTGTATCACACTGACAGTGCCATATCGCTTCAAGTTTGATTAGCATTGATTTTACATTTACTTTACAGGCCATTTAGGAAACCCAAAAGGACCTGAAGGAAACATCAATTTTCAAAGACAACTGTCTCACCAATAACTACTCTGAACTGCTCATCTAGTTCTTGATGCAATGAATTTGTCTTTCATTGCATAAAAAAATAATTTTTCCCATTGTTAGCATATGGATACTAAGTCAAGCTCCTGAAAAAATTAGTACAGCTATGGCCTTACCTTTGGACAGCCAAAGACTGTAATGTCATCTTAGGTTTCTCTGATGAGACCTAATTTTCCATTAGATTCTGTTGACTGGCACACATAACATTTGAATTAATAATTTATTTAATTATTAGTCTTTCTTTTGTGTCATTACTTTTCTTTGTGTCATCATCTGCTCCTCCCCACAGCTGAAGCTGTGACTGCCATGGTGAAGATGGGTGGATCAGGGCTTTTGTGTGTACAGAAGGCTCTACAAGCCTGTGTGCAACAGGCAATTACCATTGCCAAAGAGTAGGTCTATGGACAGGCTGGTTGCTGTTACACAGAAGATGATTTTGATGAATAGGTGATTAAGTAAGCTTTCTGTGATTCCAAACAGGCCCATTTTGCTCACAGCAGCTCATTTCTATCCTCTCCTCACTGCTTAGCTGAAGCTCACTTACACTGAAACTGGTAGCTTTTAGGATGTCCCTGAGGAACCCTTTTGGCACCCACGCTTCCTTTCTATGTTTCCATTCCTTTATAGAAGCTCTTGGAAAATATGCTGCCTTATCAGCCAGAAAATGAAAACTTCCCTATTACTGCTGTGGCCCACAGTCAGCACCCTGCAAGATCTTGCTTGCACTTCTCTCTCACCCTGAGCAGAGTCTGAGGAAGCCTATAGTGCCACTCATGTCCCTATCTCCTGCTGTACCACACAGCAGCAAGTTATTCTGGTGCAAATTCCATTCTTCATATATCCCATGAAGTGAGCACAGCCCTGTTGGTCCATTCTTGAACCTGCCTGCTTCTGTGTTTGAAAACATTGGCATGACTGTTTAAACAAGGTTTGCCAATGACTGGTATTATTCTAGGTAGTTTATGATTGTGTGGGTCCCATTGTTACTTTTTAAATTTTAACCAGTTCTGCCCTCCTCTGGAATTTCCCTGGTCTGCCAATTTGTGTTTAAAATGTTTAAAATGTTCATTTCTGTCCTTTTTTTCTTCTTTTTTTGGTCGTTTTTTAATGTTTTCATTCTTAATACTCTTATAGCATACATGTAGTAAACAGACTCCTGCAGAAGGGAAGTTTTGTCTTTTGTAACTCTGACACTTTAAAACTATTACCTTTATAAGCCATTGGTTTACCCTCTCTTAGAGGGTTAGGGCCTATCCTTTGGAGCTGGAACATTGCCCTTGCTCCTGAAAGTAGAAACACCAAGAGCAAGGGGTCAATTAATGGTAGAGCAGCATGTTTGCTGTTCTCATCAGACATCCAGGATGCTGCTTCTCAGGAAGGGGATCTGCCTGGATTGCATGAGGATGGTATTCAGCATTGCTGTGGCTGTATGAAAACCATAATACAAATTGGCAAAGAATTCAGAACTGCTTATCCTGGGGGGAAATGACATTTGCAGACAATGCCGCTTCAAGATGGAGAACTGAACTTTTAGAAAATAATACTCTTTCTCTTTACAAGAAAAACTAACATTGTTCCTTGCTGGCATGGTTTCTTAGGTACAAAACACATTCTATGTTTTATTTATTTCTATAAATCAGAAAATCCTTTCCTTTCCTTTCCTTTCCTTTCCTTTCCTTTCCTTTCCTTTCCTTTCCTTTCCTTTCCTTTCCTTTCCTTTCCTTTCCTTTCCTTTCCTTTCCTTTCCTTTCCTTTCCTTTCCTTTCCTTTCCTTCCCTTCCCTTCCCTTCCCTTCCCTTCCCTTCCCTTCCCTTCCCTTCCCTTCCCTTCCCTTCCCTTCCCTTCCCTTCCCTTCCCTTCCCTTCCCGTTTTGCTTTTCACCTTTATTCTTTCTTCTTCTTTGTCTTCTGAATCTTTCTTTTAGACATTATTATTAAGTTCATTTTAAGTGGGTTTTTTTTTGTTATTATTAGGTTGGGGTTTTTTCCCCTGGTCTGATTTCTTGCCATTTTGGACATCTTGTACTCTTATGGACATTGATCTTATACGACTGTACATAATTTGGCTGAGATTTTGTATTATGATTCTTTTCCAAGGAAATCAAATAAATTTCAGAACATTTTTCTGCAAGTGTATCAAATTATGCTCAGAAATATTCTCCAAAGGAAAAAATAGAAAAAAAGACTGACATTATCTGCAAATCAACTCCTACCCTTATAATATTCAATACATAATGGTCCCAGAAATGAGTTGTGTGTTGGAAGCTTGGGAGGTGCTGTTTATGCTGTTGTAGGTTTAACCAGCTTAAGTATCTCCACTGACAGCTACTGCATTCACTTAAATTCCCAGTGGAATTAACACATTTAAAATTTTTGTAAGGAGATCTACTTACAAGCTGAAAGAAGAACATTATTTTCACTCTTAGAGATGACACCACCTTTGAAATAAAACACTTCAGTAGTCTTCAGAGAAATGTTCAAAGGTCATGACAATGGATACAGTTGTACAATTTGTTTTGGTTTAATAACATACAAAGTATTGTAGTATCTTCATGAAATATAAAATACATCTTGAAAGGCATTTCTCATGCAGATGTGTTCAGCAACACAGAAGGTCTGTTACAAGTGTTTTTAGGAAGCTGTGTAAAAAGGGGAAGCAAAATAAATTGAAGCTAAAAGAGCCATTCTCTTCTCAAATTCTGTGAAACAAAATAAACACTTCCCAAATTAATACCATTAAAACAACTTGGTAACAGTCACAGATAATTAAACCTACAGATTTTACAAAGTTGTATATGAGATTACAGTGAAACGTGACACTTCAGGTAGCTCTGACAGAGTTTCTGTTCTCAGCCAGATCAGCCTCTTAGTTTTATTTAATACTAGTGACTGAAGTTTTGAAAGTACAGGACTTCTCATACAACAAAATCAGTAATCACAGAGAGAACAGAAAGGATGGAATACTGTAGTTACTTGCAGCAGTCTACTGTCAGTGGGAAATGCATTGTTTGACTCTGCACCATGGCAGAGGTTTGCTTCCCTTACCTCTGGAGGAAATAAAACCAATCTATTTTGTGTGAATGTAACACTGTTCAGTGGCTTCTTACTCCAGGAAATCCAGTCCTTGTTCTCCTGGATGCATTCTCTGTTCTTTCCTCTTTTCTTTCTCATACAACACAGCATTAATACTATCTGACAGAGAAAGAGGAAATTGCACTATGAAGCCTTTTCATAGCCATTGTTTTTCTTACCACTAAATGATCACTAGAGAGAGGTTGCCTTGCAGTTGTTTGGATTGGTTTGTGAGGATTGCTTTTAATTGAGGAATGATACCCAGTTTTACAAGGCTGTTATCCAATTCTTGTGTGTGAAACTCTGCTGGACCCCTGCAAGCAAGGAACTCGACGTGAGAACGTTTTTCTCCTGCCTTTTTCTTCACTTGCTCCCACATCCCTGTTTTAAAGTACTTTATTACGGACTTTTATTTTGCAAACATTTAGAGACTAGTGTAGCTTAGTTCACAGGAACGAAAATCACACAAAATCCATGCCGGTGTTTATTAGGGGCTTTCTGTACCCCCGGGAACCGCCCGGCGGGTTCGTGCGCTGCAGGAGGAACCCTCGGCACGGGATTTAGGGACAAATCCTTACGGGCGCGGGATCCCTGCCCTGGGCCCCGCCCCCTGCCTGCACAAGCCCCGCCCCTGGACCCGCCCAGCAGTCGCGGAGAGGGCGGGGCCTCCCGCCGCCGCCGCTTCCCCCCCCTCCCATTGGCGGCGGGGGCTGCGCGTGACCGGGCGGTGCGTGACGTAGGAGGAAGAAGCCGCCATTAGGGGCAGCGGGGGCCGCGGCCGCCGGGCACGTTCGGTTGCCGTGTCCCTCTCCAGCCTCTGTCTCCGCGGCCTCGCCGGTGCCTCCCCATCCCCGCCGGCCCCTCTCCCCCGCAGGCCCTCGTCCCGGTGGGCGGCGGCGGCGGCGGCGCCGCGGTGCGGCCCGTTGATGTGAGGCGCGGCTCGGCGGCGGGGCGCGGATGGCGGCGGGGGCCGGCGCGGCGGCCGGGGGCCGCAGCTTCTCCTTCAAGGTGGTGCTGCTCGGGGAGGGCTGCGTGGGCAAAACCTCGCTGGTGCTGCGCTACTGCGAGAACAAGTTCAACGATAAGCACATCACCACCCTGCAGGTGCGGGCTGGGGCGGGGTGCTGGTGTGGGGGGTCCCGCTGTTTTTCTCCCCTCACCTTGCGCCTCTCCTCGCACTGCTGGCCGTGTGTGGTCTGCAGCTTTAGGGGCAGCCCGAGGCACCGCCGCCGCTCGCTAATGGTGCCTGTCCCCTGCCGAGTTTGCTGGAAGCCAGTTTTCTCTTTATTTTCACGCCTCAGATTCAAGCTTTCAATACGTTTAGGCCTCGTCTCTACTCTGCATACTAACTGCTCCGTTTTTTCCAATTACGTATATGAATGTCTTAATTTGCATCTTGGAAAGTATGATGCAAAAGTAGTGTTGTTATTGTAATCGTTGTTAGTTGGCTGATGACTAAGTGTTTCATACGTGCTGCGTTTCTGTTAATCATAGTCTTCCTCGTGTTCTCAAATCCTAGCATTAGCACTATCTGAACGTTTCTGTTTAAGGAGAACAGCTTACACAAAATGGTTTATGAGATTAGGGCTTATGATTTAATAATGGGGAAGATTCTTAAAGCTAAACTGCTTGTCACGACAGCTCCCTGAATTTTGGCTGGATTCTCAGTAGTACTGTCTGTTGTTATAAAGAGCTACAACGTGATGTTCCACACATGAAATGTGACAGGCTGCCTGCTGGAAAGTAATGAGTTTTTTCATGGCCTACTAGTTAGCGATGGATGGCATGTATGCCCCGGTACAAAATGAACTGCTTGTACTCTACGTGGTCTCAGAAAAGATGTCTTGAAGTTCTTTTTGTGAGTGGTATGTTAAGTCTTTCAAGATCTCACCTTGCATAGGTGGAAATGTGGATTCAATGTATGCCACTCTTAATATTTGTTTTTTAAAATAAAGAAACAAACCATGTCCCTTGGTGGACCTAGTAGTGGGTTTTGAACTAATTTTGAATTTCCTGAAGTACAGAAGTAATAGTAGGTGGTGTTAAAAAGAAAAGAGTTTTAAGGTAGTTATGTGCCATTCCCATGCATTTAGGGGAAGCTTCTTGAATTGTGTATCTCAGAAGTAATTAATAGTGAAACTTTCCCTTAAAATGAAAGCAGCATTATAGATGCACTAGAAGCAGTACTGGAAATGTTTCATAAACAAATAACATAACTCCATTTTTGCTGTGAAGAGGTAAAAAGAATATGATTTAGACTTTGTTATCCTGTGTTCATACTCAGGTTTTGGGTTAAGCTATTGATGGGTTTGCTAGGCAAGGTATTTATAGGAAGCTAATTGTAGCTATCATGCCACAATTGATGCTTGGTATGCCACAGAGCTACCTGGTAGCTTGTAGGTGTCAGAGGTGCAGCAGAAGTGTAGCACTGAGCAAACAATCAGTTAAAGTGCATCAAAATGGTCATGTGTAGCTGAATTCTCATATCCCATGTTTTAAGAGTAGGTCCAAGTAGATTGTTATGTGGTGATGCTTATGTTTGTTGTTTGGGTGTTTTTGTTCTTTAAATCTGTAGTGGAAAGCCTAAAATTACAAGCAAAAACTGGGTTGGAATACAGACTTGGGTCACAAATATTATAAAACACACTTTAAAATTGCTCCAAAATGCTGATAGGAAATGTCTGTAGATAGTGTGGCTCCAGAGCTTTTGGGTTTGACTGTCTGCAGAGGGGTGTGTTGAGGAGTGGAAGCAGGTGCTTGCAGTTCCTACTGAGCTTTTGTTTCTCCACCGTAACCAGGTTTGTGGTTGCTACCTGTGTCTTTTAACTGACTGCTCATTGTTTATCAAGTTGTTTGCTTTTTTGTTCTGAGCCTCCTTGGCCACATATGCGTCTCACTGATGCATATGTAAAATACAATGTCAATTGCTGTTGAATCTTACCGTGCATCATGTGCACTTGTGAAGTATTATCTTTATTATTTTTATTTCCTTACATCTTACTGTTCTAGAAAAAAAAAAATGAAGTGAGTTCTTCCACTATCAAATTAAAAGATTAGTTTAAAAATAAGATGAAGAGAAACTAGGGTATCTGATTAAGCAGTGAAGTAACATGTTTGCAAAGCATCCTTTGTTGATTTTTTTTTTGGGAGATAAAAGTCTTAATCTGATAAGGTTGCTTTGTTTCATGGCAACAGTTCAAAGTAATGCACCAAATTCCTTTTGTTCCAATAAAGTCAAAATTAAATAAATACTTTGCTCCTGGTCCAGCAAAGGAGTGACAATGATGAATTATATGAAGAGATCACTAGATATTGAGACAAGAGGCTCTCCATCCACAATAACTTAACTTAAAAAAGAAAGTATTGTATAGTGCTTTCTTCCAGTATGTTTGCAACAAAAAAAGGGTGGTGAGACTGCAACCTTCTGGAAACTTCACCTAGTGACGTTATTCTACTGTGAAGTAATTCTTTTTATACCGAAATAGGTAAGCTTCTTTGGTGCTAGTAACAGAAGACTTGGACTAAAAGGGAGCAGTTTCTCCTCCCTACCCACTCCCCTCTCTCAATGCCAACTGGAGTGCACTGGAACCTCCTCTGATCTAGGGGGCTGCTGGGATGTGTTGCTGTAGTTGAGTTAGCATCAATCATGTACTTAAGTTGTTTATGACCTGCATGTTGAAGTGAAGGTAGCTACTGATTCACAGAAGAAAGCATCTACTTAGAACATTGTGGAAAATGCAGGAAAAGTAGGGGTTTTTGCACACAGTTAATATAATTCATAACCTGTAGGTAGACTTGGTGGGGCAGTTAAAATTGGTTCCCATTGTTTGAAATACTGAAGTAAGTGCCCTCATACAGTAATTATAAAGATATAAATTGATATCAAGTGAACTGTGCTGGAATTACTCTAATAATAAACCTACTGTCAAACTATTGGGCTTTTTAATTTGGTAAATCCTTTTTATAATTTAATTACTCAGGATAAATACAATTTCTGAATACTGCTCTCTTAAATGTGTGGAGGATTGCAGAATATCCAACCCAAGAGAGCTGCTGATTGCTTTGATGGACTTGGCATAACCTGGAAAAGCTGTCTTAGTTATCAGGATAGCTGGGGGGTGAGTGAAAGACAGTGTAAGGAAGTTCAGTGCTATGTGCAGTGTTTGTATGCCTGACCTGCTTCTGTTAAACATGAAGCAGTCAAGACCAGATGCCACACACCTGCTTTTTTTCAGTGACTTTTGGGAGACTCTCTTCCAGCTGTGTCTTCCTTGTGTTCTACTCAAGCCCCTTTATCAGCTCCTGGCAGGGCCTGGTGGGCATACAAAACTGAGGTCATAGAAGAAAATTAAAAGAACGAAAATATTTCCTACAGCCACATCAAAAGATTGGAATTTTAGCTCTTATAATTGCATTATTCTTTTCTAAGCGCCTAAGTATTTTTCAAACCAGTCATAAGACAGTAGAGTCAAAATATGAAAATTAGAAGCTTCGAAGAGTTGTTTGAAATTACTTATATTTGAATTAACCATGTTCCTGTGAGTTTTTGAAAGTCCTAGCAAAAATGAACTGTCATAGTAATTAAAATAATATGGAGAATAGTGGAGAATAGCTACTGATTGTAAATTGAGTCACAGCTCAGACTTGAGTACTTGTAGTACTCAATTCAGTAATTTTTTTGGAGATTAGAGAAATTGTTGAAGCTTTTTCTATGTGTAATTACCTAACGCCCTGTAGGTAGTCAAAGGCTTTGATTTTGAGACTTGACAAACTTTAAAATCTTGGCAACTGACTTTTTCTCTAAAGTATCTCAAAATAGAAGCTGAGACTCAGACTCTTGCTTATGTGTTGGGTTTTCCCAAATTTCTAAAAACTGCACAGTCCTGCTATTCTCCTTGTTTGTTTTTTTTTTTTCCTCCCTCACTAACCTCAGAATGGCTTGGGAGGGGTATATGTGAGTTGAAAGGTTAAAAGGTATTAGTTGATTTGTCTTTGGTGTGTTTGCCACTGTGGATGTAAAAATGTTTTATTGATAGTAAATGCACCAAACTTACCCATACCTACTAATTCATGAGCAGAGCCTGCTAACTGTATTCTTCAAGTATATGAACAAAATAAAGAAGAATGAAGAATTAAATCTGTAGTATAGTATTGATGGTTTCCTCCAGCATGTTCACAAAGCTTTCTGCTCATTACTAACTGTGACTGCTTCAAGTACCAAGTTCCAATCTTGTTATCAGAAAAACCTGCTTGTTATCAGGCTATCTGATAGAGGATACTGTCTCTCCTTTTTTGATTATGGGCCCAAGACTTTAGATAGACTAAAACTTAATCATTACAAATTCATCAAATTTTAATACAAGAGCAAGAGCAATATGATAGCCCAGTGCTAAATACCCTTGTCGCAGTCTCCTGTGGTTATGGATGTTTTTGCAATACAAAAAAGCATGCATGTAGGAGTATTTTAGTGCTGGGCTATATAACAAATGAAAATCTATATCTGAGTGATAAAAGACAGTATTCTTAGCAAAAGCTGTAGTACCTGAAGGACAGGTTATACTGAAGCAAAACTTACCTATGTAGATAAACCTACTTTAGTTTTTGCTCTGTCAGATAGGAGATATACTTGTGCTATTAACTGGGTCGTTGTCTAAAGGTACAATGATATATCTTTATGGATATGGAGTTCTCTGTGTTTTTAAATATAAATCCCCTTTCTGTGAAAGATTTTTCTGCTCAGAAATTGATTCTCAAACACTTGTGTGGAATTCACATCAACTAAGCGGGTTTGGATTGTTGGTGTTATGAAAAAAGCAAGCATTGCTCAGATGAGCTTTTCCTTTGAGATTTGCAGTAGAATATTGAGTACTATAGTACAGCAGATCAATAAAATATTGTCAGGTAAGCTTGATTCATTGTGCCTACAATAGCTTCTCTCCCTGTGGCCCAAGTGTTGGTGAATTAAAACTTCTGAAGTTGCCTCCAAGCTTCTGGCTTTTAAACTGTGGTGTAATACAACAAATGAGGAAGACTACTGATGAGTTAATCCTCAGGGACAGCTGTTTGAAAGCCATCAACTGCCTTCTCTAGAGTTTTTAATTAAAAAATGAAAAGTTTTCTGATGTTGAGGATTTGTTACTCTTCTGTTAAGCTGTTTGTTACAGGTTGCTTAGAGGGCCAAATCCATTTAATGTACTGTCTGGAAATTTTCCAGACTTTTGACATTACAGTGAGTCTCCTCACTGTAGCCTGAGAGGGTAGTGTAGTATTAATGCTTTAGTTATGTAGAACACAAGGATTGTAGTGATCAGTTCTTTGCTATCTGTTCTTGGAAAGTGTTTGTTTTTCTTCTGGTTTGTTCTCTTTCTCTTTGTTCTTTTTATCAGGCTTTGTGGAAAGGTTTGGGGGAAGGTACAACTTAAAAATGGAAAGGTTTTTTTTAATCATCTCATCTTGGGTCATACAGATGCCAGGGAAGTAGCTGAAGAGCAGCACTCCAGAAAGACACTTTGACAGCAGTTTAGGCTGGTGTGCATTGAACTGCTGTGGTCTCCTGTGTGCTTTCTGGCTGCTTGTGTAGTTAAGCAGCAAGCTGGTTCAAGCAGCTCATCCGGCCCATGACACTTTCCACACATGTGAGTCTTGATTCTGTGGCTGGTCAGTGCTCGTACAGAGAACTCCTCTTGTGCTGCTGCAATCCAGCCTAAAATAATCTGTGATGAATGTATCATAAAATACCACTGAGTACGTGTTTGAACCCAAATGCAAACTGAGGTAAAACTGAAATGAACACTCACTATAATTTAAGGCAGAATAAAAAAGTTTGCCCTTGGTGACTGAATTGTTTGATATAGCATGTTACTGCTAGTCTTTAGAATGGGGAGAGCAGGTTCCTAATGCATCAATACCTTGAGACCCTGTTCTGGTCCATTAAACTTGTGTTAAATTATATTCCCTTTTTAGCCGTCAAATTACAGACCTGGTAACAGAGGTGGTGTCTGAAAATGTGAATCATGCAAGTTTGGAGGAAACTAGACCTACTCAAGTTACTGAAATTAGATTAACCTTGCAATGTGCTCTGGTCCTGTAAAATATTTCCAGAAGTTAAAGTAGTAGAATTCTAAAGCAGCTTTTATACTTATTCTGAGGCTTCTCAGCTCAAACAAGCAAAAATACAGAACCAAAAAACAGATGAGGGTGAGTTGTAGGCTCATTTCAGCAAAAAAGGGAAAAGTTACAGACAAGCAAACTTGTGAAATACTCATGTTCCAAGATATTTAGTGATAAAATAAAACAATTGTTTATGGTTCTAGTGTCTTAGTAATAGTGAACTACTTTGCCTAATTCCTACAGCTTAAAAATCCTGTTAGGCTTGTTCCTACCTGAACTTCATAGATTCTTGTGAAATGCTTTGAGTTCAGCTTAGACTTATCAGTGTTGTGAGTTCAGAGTCTTTCCACACAGCTCATCCTTCCCAAATCATTCAGAACAACTGCAAAAAGATGTAGTAAATGATTGGCTTAACTCAAATTTATTTAGAATAGACTGCTGGCAAACTACAGTGAAATTACTAACTGGCTTAATATTGACTTAGCCTTCTTGCTTACAGAGTCTTTTGATCTGGAAATTTGTCTTTTATTGATTCTGATGCTTTATTAATTATTTTCAAGTCAAATTATGTGTTTGGTGCGTAAAACTTAACTCTAATCTGTTTTACTTTCCAGGCATCTTTTCTTACGAAGAAGCTAAATATTGGTGGAAAAAGAGTAAACCTTGCAATATGGGTATGTTTCTATTTTTTTTCTTCCTTAGCTAATTAGAATGTTTTTCTGAAAAAAAAAGTTACTTGGGCTTATTATATCACAAGTGTTAAGCACTTCTTAATAAAGTATTTGGAGTTCTTTGAAGTATTGTTTGCTTTGTCTTAAATGCTAACAAGTGTATTTTAAATGCAGGATACAGCTGGTCAAGAAAGATTTCATGCATTGGGGCCTATCTACTACAGGGACTCTAATGGCGCTATTCTAGTATATGATATAACAGATGAAGACTCTTTTCAAAAGGTACTGGGCAGCTTTTACATCTGAACTGTAAACTGCTTGAAAGATAATCTGTGATATGTGTAAACAGAAGTCTTCTGTTTTCAGCAATATATATAATATTTGCAAATGTAGATCGTGTAATGGAAGTATACAGTTTATTAGTATTCTGTTGAAGACTGCCTTCCCTGCTATCAGCTTATTCAAAGAACACCAAAGCATTACCTCAGTTTCTTAGAGCACAGTCCAAATAATGCCAGAGTTGTGGGTTTGATCCCTGTATGGGCCATTCATTCAACAATTGCACTTCATGATCCTTGTGGATCCCCTCCAGCTCAAAATAATCTGTGATGTAGCTGTGCAAGTTACCTGTAAACATAAACATGGACTGTTGTCATGGTATGTCATTCTGATCTTTACTGTATAAACCAAATTACTAAAAGATACTAAGTGATGTGACCTTTTATAGATCTGAGAACTTTGAAATTGCAATACGTGATAGTGGAGCCATTACCTCCTCTGTGATAAGTTATTTTTTGTCAAATCCTCATCAAAATGTGTCATTTGATGGCTAGTTATTTTATGGCTCTATTAGTTGATCAGTTTGATCATGTGAGTTTTTTCCACCCTGTGTCACTCTGTGCTACCACTCTATAGGATTTTTCAGCTGAAAAGTGGTGACACTCTTTTAAGCAAGTTTGTCTCTGACTTTCAGCAAAACCAGTCAGACTTCTGTGTAGAGAGAAGTGAAAAAGTGTGGTTGCATGGGCAAGGCTTGGGTTAGCAGTGATGGAAATAGTGTGAGGGTACAGATCCACAACAGTTTATCTAATTTAAATAGTCTGGTGAAGAGCAAGTAAAGTGCTTGTGCTAGCAGTTAAACATTTGTGACCACCTGCAGAATGATGATGACTTGTGGGTGCTACTTCAACTTGTGCCTCTTCGTGTGGAGTCCAAATAGTAAAACCCTGTGATACCAAAACATTTAAATGTGCAGAAAAAAAGAGGGAAAGCTGATTTACAGGATTTACTGCAGAAGTACTACTGGATCATGTAGCCTAACTTGTTTTTAGATTCTTGAAGTGATTGCCTCTCTTCACAATCATTCCCTTAAAATAGCAGTTCATAAGTCAATGCAGTGATCATACAACTTTCAAACTTTTCATGACAACATACCTTACCATCAGCTGACTCAACATGCTTGTCCCATTTGTTCTCTCATGAAGTAAACATCTGTTATAATCTAACCTGAAAAACTTAGTTTAGGTGCCTCTGCTTCTAAAGTACTATTTGTGGTCTGTCAGTAAGTGCCCGTTGATAAAAGATCTCATGTCTGACCTAAAGTGGCCCATGCTGTGAACTTGCTATATTGGGTGTGGTGAGTTATATTTTTGGAGTAATTGAACCATTTTATCTAAGTAATTTGCTCTTAATTTCACATGTGAAATAAAACCTGCTGAACAAGGGCCATATATAGCAATCTAAATAATATTTTCTCATCTGTATTGCTCTAAACATTTTTGCTTTAAGTTTAAAGTAGATGGTTAATCAAGAAAATGGAATGGTTCCACACTGCCTAAGATAATAGTATATTGAGTGAAAACAAACTCACTTCTGTTCTTTTTGCAGGTAAAAAACTGGGTTAAGGAATTAAGAAAAATGTTGGGAAATGAAATCTGTTTATGTATAGTAGGTAAGTCTTTTTCAACATGACTGAATTGGAAACATCTCTTGATCAATAGCATCTTCCAAATGCTGCTTTGACAACTTGTACATGTGAAGGGGTGAAGCTTATGTTAGATATTTAAAATTAAACTGGAGCTAGAAGTTTAAGCAGATCACATGGAAGAAAATAAGAGTTTGATTAAAAAAATAAGCTAATTATACACCATTAGAAGTGCATGGTACAGATACCTGCAGACTGTAGTTTAACAAAAAAATGTACATTTTCCTTCTTTCAAGTACTCAAGCTCATGACTAGGTGCTTGTCTGTTTTGATAATTAAGTGCTTGCAGGTTGGAGTGAGTCTTAAAGATTGGAAATTTTAATGCAATTGGAATGCAACAGAAGTGATGGGTTTAGATTTAAATCTGATCTAATTATTAAAACACTTCCATGAGGTTACATATGTGGACATTCTACAAAAATTACCTCTGCAGCACATGGAAGGCACTAATAAATCACAAAAAAGTGCAAAAGGCTGAATTGGGTGGGGGCATTTAGCTGTCCTGATCTCTCTACAGAACTAGCACCTTATAGCATGTAAATGCTTGGTGAAAGGAGATTCTCAAATCATAGTGTTCTTGAAAGTGAGAGTTGCTCTTTACTGGGACAGCTTGAGAAAATGGAGTGCCATGATTACTTGTTTGTTTTCTTTTTGGGTAATTTTAGAGTACAAAGACTTAAAAGATTAACTTGTTTCCAACAGGTAACAAAATAGACTTGGAAAAAGAGAGACATGTTTCAGTGCAAGAAGCAGAAATGTAAGTCACACCTATTACTAACAGAAACAGTCATTGCAGAATTATGCTGCAGTAATAAACTCGTGATGCTGTTAACATAGCAGCCAGCTAGGCACTGCTGGCTTATGCCTGCCAGTTGTTGAGTGTTCTGTTAGTGTCTGAGTCACAGGGTGTCCTGGCTGGCCAAAGTGTAGTTTGAGAGTGGTTTGTGATTAAAGTCAACATTTACAGTTTAAATCCCTTTCTAGACATGAAAATTTCTTAATTTCAGCCAGTGTGCTGCATCAGTTGTGGCAGTTTTAAACACATAACTCCTTTTTTTGTATACTCCTTTTTTGTGTAAATAAGCATGTGTAGATTAACTCTGAGGTCAGAATAAAACTTCTTGTGATCATCTTATTCCTTCATGTAAAATGGCTTAGAAAGATTGAGTCCTTTACTACAATGAGGCTCCATAACTTCATTTCTACAGGTATGCCGAATCTGTTGGAGCAAAACATTATCATACATCAGCTAAACAGAACAAAGGAATTGAAGAACTGTTTCTTGACCTTTGCAAAAGTAAGTATTATGTAGTTTATTGGTAAGGAGCTAATTCATAAATGCTTCAGGCTTCAGAAATGTTTTTCAGGCCATATAGAAAATTTGAGTGTTAAGTGCTACTTACAACTGACTTCATTTCAGTCTACTCCAAACCACTTGTGTTCTGTAACAGCTCTGGAAGCTTCATGTATGGATGCTTTCAATGCTGCAAATTCACGCTCTACTCCAAAAATGTCTTGGTCTTTTGTTGGAGCACTGACCGCTGTTCTACTTACCGCGCATAAGTAGTAACCCAAATCAAACTTCATGTTCCTGGTCTCACCACTGCTTGCTTTAAATCCTCTGTTTCATACTCTTTCAAAAATTTTCTTAAATTATGTTGATTACAAATCATAAACTCAAAACTCTAGTGATGCAGATTTTACACAGAAATCTCGACAAATGGTAAAGATCATGGTATGTGGGATGAAAATCCAACATAAGCAAATCATCCTATTAGTTGTATTTATGAGATAAAAGAATTTAAGGAAGAGGTCTTGTGCGTTTCTGAAGAGGTAGTTGCTTGGGGTTTTTGGGGGGGTGGAGTTTCTTGTTTGTTTGGTTGGGTTTTTTTAACAGTGTTACTGATATGGGTGTGTAAATTTAGCTTTTCAAGTTGCTAACTCCAGGACACCTGAGGATCACTACGGTCTCCCTTAGTTACCAGGAGCTCGTGTATGTTGGGTGCTTTAGAAAAAAGATTTCATATGTTCTTGCTGTTATACCATGTGATACCTGAGTAGTTAGTTCTGCATAACAAATAGGAGAACCACTCTTGCTGAACTTTTCTTTCTGTGCATATAGTTCAGAGAGATTAAGATAGCAGAGTCTTAATGTAAAAATACAATGGAATGTATCTAATACACATCTTTCTTTACAGGAATGATAGAAACTGCTCAAGTGGATGAAAGAGCAAGAGGCAATGGCTCCAGTCAGTCAGGAATAGCAAGGCGAGGTGTACAGATCATTGATGATGAACCACAAGTACAGAGCAGCGGAGGGTGCTGTTCTTCTGGATAATTATAAAACTGTGCATCACTGCCCTCTCAATATGAAGACTGCCATATTCCAAGTCACACATTCTTTACCAATGGAGTAATAGAATTAACAGTATTTAAAAATAATCACATGTAACACTGCAGAGACCTTAAGTGCTAAACTAGTGGCGTCTGTGACCAGAGAATTGGCGTTTTCTACAGTGGTTAACAAAGCAATTACCAATGGCCTTTTTACATATTTTTCTTTAATGAGGAATAATATGCATGTAGAAAAGACCTACTTAAAGGCTTCATTTATATTCTTTTAAATCAGATCATTATTTAATAACTTATATACATTGTTGTTGGAATGGTATACGTTTTTGCAGCTCTTTGTACTTTGTGGTAGATGGAATTGTATCACTTCTAAAATGCAAATTGATTTTTTTTTAAATTAGCAGATATCTGAATTAATATTTTTGCAGGGCCTCTACAAGCCTATAACTCAACTACTTTGATATATTCTGTTCATCTGTATGCCAAGCTGATAAAATACATTGTAAATTACATATTAAATATTTTATCTGCTTTTACAGTTGCAGGTGCAGAAATATGTACATCAGTCTTGTCTGTGATCGTGAAGTGAATAAGTCAGTGAAAGATGCAAGCTTTTCATGTGCACTGTTAAATTGCTCATTCTATTCCCCTACCTGAAAACAGCTTTTTTTGAGTACATCCATAGCTACAGCAATTCTTTAATCCATTTCTGGCAAGCAGCAGTATTTAGAGTATCCCCTTACTGGAAGAGAATGCTTCTGTAAACTGCTGTTTAACATTGAGGCGTTTGACTTGCAGCTAAAACAGTTGGTGCATGCACATACCTTGCCTCTGCAGTTACTTTGTTCTCTCAGAAGATCCCCAGAAAGTCAAAGCAACCTTAGCCCTCATCTATCTGGTAGCCAGTAAACCAGATGCATGGGAAACTCTTTAGCTGCTCTAATACATTTGTTTCCAAAGACAGCATTATAAACTATTCATGAGCATATTTTTCTTCCCTGTAGGGCTTGAGTGAACAATTAATTGACATTAACTAGAACTTCTAATTTGGAGTGATTAAATTGAAGATGTGAAACTTGCCAGATGTAGCTGTAACTAAGGGGATTCTAGGCAGAATTGAACTTATTCCTAACTTGCTCTTTCTCTTGTAAAGTGTTTTGAAAAAGCCCATTTAAGTTTCAGGAGGAGGGTTTTCAGAAAAAAAATGTGTGAACTACTGTCACAAAAGAACACAAGTGGTGGTAGCTGAAATTTCAAAATGTTTTGTGCTCTGACTTTTTTTACTTGTCATGCTTGGAAAAACAGTAAAGGTGATGTCTATGACAAAGTAGAATATCCTTGGCCTTCCTTTTTCTGAAGGGTAGATTTAGTATTGCATATGAATGCACTGAATGGTGTGGGTATGTTCTGATAGACAAAAAAGTAGTAGTAATGAAATAATCTGTGTAAGAAGTGTGCTGTCTTCAATCTGATTTTTATTTTCTCTGAAATACTAGAGGGCTTTGATACAGACTGATCCTGGTGCATTTTCTCCTTTCCTGCCTTAACTGTAGTGTAGATACTTTTTCTTAGACCACCATTGCTGTGTTCTTCTGATGTGTTTGTGTGCATGATGGAGAAAGGTGGTCTGTTCGTGGTAGTGAAGATCAAGTTTCTTGGCTGTGCAGAGCTTTGGTGTGAACCTAAAATCTGTGATTATATGTGTCAACATGTAGCAACACTGTTACCTTTCACATATCTAACGACAGTGAGCTCTGACAAAGTTGAAAATCAGATCAGTTTGATCTAACACTGGTATCTGACAATCAGCCTTGTAAGTGATACAGTATATGAAGAGTGAAATTGTCAAGTCTTGACGTTCAAGAATGGAATTGCCTCAGAATAGGAGTTTCAGGTTTTTTGATTCAAATTTAGTTTTTTCCATCTCTGCAAATAAAACCCTGAACAGCCCAACTTCAACTAGACATAGTTGAAGCAGTGTGTAGAATGTATCTTTCTGCCTGCAGCTAAACAGTTTTTTAGTGTATTGTGTGGTAGGGGCATCCCATTTGACTTCTGTCAATTACAAAACTAATGAAGGCATGTTGATACTAGCTCTTAAGTCTCTTATGGAATTAAAACTATTACTACTGAAAACTTAGGTGGGGATAAAGAAGTCTACAATTTTGTAATACTAAAAAGGTTCTGGTTGCTATTAGTGAAATATTTATAAAATAAATTCTCAAGTTACTTTTCTTACTTAAGCTACAACATAAATATTCACTGGAAACCTTCCTGTCTAAGCTGTGGTTTGGTTGGATTTGATTTATGAGACTTAAAACCTGTGTTTGCAGGGTATCATTGTATAACTGGATGAAAGTATAGCTTTGTGAAGTCAGGGAAGCTGGTTGAAGATTAGACAGAAGTTGAAAACATGAATTGTTTAGACTAATTTACATAAGACTTCAACTATTCATTGTTAGCAGACAAAATACAACAGTTCCAGGAAAAAGCATCTTTGTCAAAGATACCAAGAACGTTCTTTGCACTTGATATACAGAAAAGCACAAATAGCTTGGTTTGCTATATTTGAGCAGGATCTTACTCAAGTAACCTGGTAACTAGTATGTGAGTTGTTTTTCAAGAGTCTTGAATCTTGCATTTGATCTGGATTGCCTGGTTTGTGCATCTAAAGGAGAACTGTTTTCTTGTTGCTGATTTCTGCGGCTGTAAACAAGTAAGCTATTTTTCATTCTTCTGAGAAGTGAAAGAGAAGAGGCTGCCTGTCTTTAGGAAGTACCTCTGTTGTGGGGCAGATAGCCAGACGCCCACTACAGCACTGTAAATCAACACTGAGCACACTTCCTCAGGGTGTATCTTGACAGAGATTACTCACATACATACTAAAATAAAATGTAACTTTGTACAATACCTTTCTAAAACAACTTTTAAGTGCTTGCTCACAGTCTTGATGCTGCTACTATGAATACATGAGCTGCCTATGAAACTTTATCACTTGCTGAAATAAAATCCAACAAGCCAAAGTCCAACAGCTTTAATGCAGCAGTATGTATCTCTGCTGAGTGTTATTTATGGGCACTGTATACTGCACTTAGACTTTACTTCAGAAGCTATAAAAGATGGGATAGACTGATTCAGACAAGGACACACAAATTCAGATGTATCATATTTGGACATGACTGTAACTAGCTGCAAAGACTGGGAGAGATGGCTTTATCTGGCTAGCAGTGATCTTGCACATGATTCCAAAATGGGGGTATCCAATGGCCAGATTAACTGTATGAGATGGTCTTTTGAAGCAGTCAAGTAATTGAGTGTTACCTTGATTATATTACATGCTTTCCTTCAGTGTTCACACATTTTGTGGACAGGTATTTTTGCATTCTACCACATAGAAAACTGCCTACAGTTCTTAAAGAACTTAGTGATTAAATTTCTACTTTGGTTTCCAAACAAGATGAAAAAGGCTTTGCAAAAAGGTATGAATTATGGAAAGTGGTTAGATCTCAAATGGAGTTCTCAAAAAAATGTTGGATGCTGTCAGAATGAAAAATGTAAAAATGGAGGTCAGGAATCTCCATAAGCTGAAAGCAGTTAAGTGATATGAATAGTAGAGTATGGGAATAAGAGTTGGAGCCAGCCACATCCCATTTTTCTGCTTTTAGTGGAATGAAAAGGAGAAGTAGGAAAAAAAAGGAATGTTGGAAAAACTGAGGTTGGTGGTGGCAGGCTGCTGAGTAAGATGCCGAGTTAACCTTTTCTTTGAGTTGCTAGAGAGTCTCAGGAATGGCAATATCGTACTCAGGACTTCTGATAGCACTTCTTGGGTTGTTCCTGCTTCTGTGAAATACTGTTTTTCCTTCATTAAAGAGCATGCAACTAACTTTGAGCAGGCTTTCAGGCACAATACTAACCTGCTTAAAACTTTTTAAATTAGAATATGCTCATTTATTAACTATTTACATTTCACTGACTTTGTTAATCTTAGTCTGCATCATATCCTAGGAGTTTTTCTTGAGAAGTTGGGAAGTAAGTCATGCCATGAGGATAACTTTTACTGCAGTTGTGTCAAGGAGTTGCAGATGATGACCAAGGTCCTTTGCACTACTTGCTGTGCAAGCTCAACAAGGTCCCCAAACTAGCTCACTAGCTCTTAACAGTGCTGGGCACTTGCTTCTGCTATTCTTTGGAGGATTCTGCTCAACATCAGGTTTTTCCTTCCATACAGGCAGGCCTGTACATCTCAATGATGTAGCTGTCTAATAAATGTAGGCTTTTTCTATCAAATAACAATGTATACTCTTTGCTCCTGCATTTTTTGGAGCTGTCATTGGCCCCTGTATTGAGCAGAATGAGATGGATATGATTTTGAGAGTTGTGGAGAATATGGAATGTTTCTTGTCCTGAGATGGCTTGAAAAGTGAGAGTCCATGAAAAATTCAACATTATGACAAAGTATTATTCTGCCCAAGATAACAGAAAATAGTTTGGCTCAGATAAATTTTTGCTGTAATATGATCAAAATGATAAATTGCTCTACTTCTAAAGTGAAAACTTATTTCAAGCTGATCTGTCTAGTCTTAATTTTTTTTTAAGACTTAAGTTTACTTAACTTGGCCAAAGCCTTAAATTGAGTGCCATGTTATACAGCCGTAAACTAAACTTTGATTGTTGGGAGGAACAGCATACTTGTTCATATTCCACTGGCCAGTTTAGATCTAAGATTGTGTTTATTCAATACCAGGATGTTAAAAGATAGATTAAAACTATTTTTCAGTCTATTTCCACTGCTTTATGCATTCAGGTAAGTAACATGGATGTGATGCAGCTGCAGGGTCACTGTGAAAAGAGGACTTCTCTTTCTTTTCCTGCTTCTTGGCTGCATTGATCTGTGTTGCTAAATTCCTCCTACAGGAAACAGTGCTGTGCAAGAAGGGAAGTGCACGTTTGCTCCTTGCTTCTCTAGCTCCTGTAGACAGTGATAGGCACTACAGCAGTAATACCCAGTTCCTCTCAGTTCGATAACCCTTTTTTTCCCTAAGTGGAGCTTTTCTTACGTCTTGACAAATATTTCTTTTTGTGTATCTAGTCTCACCGATCCCTTCAAAGGATTTTAATACTTTATTGTAGGTTACCCAAAAGATGTTTAATTTGAAAGCATGACAAGGAAGGATAATAAGTAGCAATTTTGCAGCCGTCTTCCCTAACAATTGGCCATATCCCATCTCTAAAACAATGAAGAGAGAATATTCAAAGTTTAATGGTGAGTCCTTGCTAGCTCTGTATCTGACTCCTGATTCTTGGATATTAGAAGTGACTTATGAGAAATCTCAGTTGAGAGGATTTGAGAGAGCAAGGACTACTTCCCCATCAGATGCAAATAGTTGATACCCTGTGACAGATCCAAACTCATGGTTTTTTTGAACTGTTGAAACTGTTAAATTGCAGGCCCTTCTTCAAGTTAACCATCACTCCATTCTGAAAAGTCAACAAATTTGGGACTTGCAGTGGAAGAGAACAAGTATTTTCTTTTTCAGAACAGGAAAGTTTAAACTGACTAATCAGGCTTTTTTTAGTAAAAAGAGAAAAACCATTTTGATACCTAAATCTTTAAGTGCTGTCAGTGCTATTTGATCATACAGGCATTATAATCATTGTCTTACTAGATTTTTCTCATCAGATAAGCTCATTAAGCTTATCAGTCATACTCAAATAGAAAGAAAACATTAGCAGGGCAAATCCAATGCTGAAAAAGATGCAGCATTTTTAAAGTTGAGTAAGTTAACATTGTCAAATGTTATAAGAATAATCTATTTGGCATTTGTGGACAAAAGAAATTTTGTAAAAACATACTAAAAATATCTTGCAGAGGCTCTATGAATGCTAACTTTCCCAGTGCATTTTTGCAGCTGGAGTTCTTAAATACATCTTCATATATTTTATATACCAGTGCATTTACAGGAAGATAGTCCTGTGATAAATTAATGCCAAATGGTCAATTAACTATAAAAACAAGGATTCTTTTGTCATGACTGCTGCTTGATCAATCCTCATATTAAAAGTGAAAATGCATGGAAATGGATCAATAGGGGGAAAAAAGTGTACTGAAAATCAATGTAGAAAGAAAATATTGTCACTTCTTACATTTACAGAATGTTACAGAATTTGAAACTTGATGACAGTGTATAATAAAGTGGAACTGAAAGTTACTGAAACTGGGGGCAGTGACTGAGACCAGAGGTTTTTTTATGTTACATCTATAATATTTCTGAACTCACTTGACCATGATGTGTCAAAAGATGGCTTTAAGATGTCAAACCAGGCTCACTGAGGTTACTGTGAATTATCCTAGCATATACCCCAGAGACTGTAGTGTGAGCATATCCCAGTAAAATAAAGCTTTGACTCTCAACACTGGTCTTTGGCATCTCAGAACAGAGGAAGGAGCAGTTGCAGTTGAACCACATTTATGTTTAATAGTAGCCTCAGGGATGCTGCCTCTATGCAGCAAAACAAAGTCAAACATGGAATCCAGGCTAGGGTGGGGATTTTCCACCAGCTGTAACATGCTGCTGTCCTTTCTCCACCATGAGTGCTTGTTCATGCTTCCCTAGTGAAAGCTGCTGGCTGGCTGATGCTGTGGATTTGAACTGAGTGGACATTGTGAGTGAGAACAGCAAGCAACAGGAAAAGCACAGCAAGATGACAGCAAGTTGCATGCTTCTGCTTTAGCTGTTCTTAGCCCTTTCACTTGCAGTTCTAAGAAGTCAGCAACTCTATCCTACTATCTTGTTACAGAATCTCTGAATGGGTCAGGTTGGAAGGGACCACAGTGGGTCATCTGGTCCAGCCTCCCTGCTCAAGCAGGATCATCCTAGAGTACATTACATGGAATTGTCCAGGCAATTCTTTATTATCTCCAGTAAGGGAGTCTCCACAACCTCTCTCAACAAAGGTGTATTTTCTAGTAAGTGAGAGTTTTTTGTTGTTCAAGAAACTAAAATCCAGAGTTTTTTATAGTAAATGTAGTTCCTTCACAATTAGTTTTTCAAAATATGTCAGCATTTCTCTAAAGGGGCTATATTAAGTGGTGAAGAGCAAGTGTACTACTTGTAGTTACACCCTGCAATCAGAGTCCTAGGGTGAATACTTCAAATAGCAAGAGGCAGCACGGTATCTGATATACCTCTGAAGTCCATCTAGTCTCCCACTGTTTTGTGATGTAGAGTAATTGCAAAACAATCCTCAGCTGTAAGCTGTGTCCATCCTGAAGTTGGATTGAGGCTTAAAATGGCTCCAAACAATGGCCTGCAAGGAATCCTTTTCAGCATGTGAATACTGCAGTGTTTAGCACTATGTGCACCTTTTCTTTTTCAGAAATTTAGGGATTTCAGCCTGTAGGGGAAATGAAGTGATCTCTGAAGATGAGTTATGGTAGCAAATTAAGATCAAGCAGTAAACATTGACTGCCCTTATGCTAAAACAATTGTTCTCTTACTTCTCTGCTCTTTCCAGGAAATGTTGTTTGTTGCTATTATGATGTATATGTAGAAGTGATAGGGTTACAACAATTTGTCTCCCGTGCTGCATTCCTAGCTCTGGCAATACTGGTGTGCCAATGGCAAACAACAGATCAGTTTCTGTTTAGTCATCGCTGTCGGATAGCTTCCAGCTACCCTCTCTGGAGGCTGATGCAATCATGAATTTCTCCTTGCATGACAAATGCAGAGCATTCAAGTTAGTATCTGCTCTGCTTCTTTTGTATTTACAAGCTCCACAGTTTTATACCCCACTGAGAGTAAAAAGCTATTGTAAAATGATGGTCGGTTACACCAACCACAATGTTTTCTTATGTGACAACTTCTGTATGTTTTGGGTTGATTCATATTCTGGAATTGTATTGATACACAGATAAAAAATCAAGTTCACAAACGTGAACTCAGTGCTGTGCTTAAGGATATTCAAAATGTGATGCTGCAAATGCTTCAAGAAATCTCATCACCCAGCATACGTGCCTTCATGTCTTGTTACATCTCCATGCCTTCACACTGTAAATACAAATAAATGCAACTGGGGTATGGCATTTCCTTCCTTTTAATTTTGGTCTATGTATACTTAGTTTGTCTCCATTCTTGTCTAACCTTGTTGCAGAAGGTAGCTAAGCATGGAACAGTACTCTATCTGCATGCTCTACTTGTTCAGGTTAGTGGGTTTTTTATATTTTCTTTGAGGAACAGGTTAGAAAGGCTATCCTATCTTTATCTCTCAGTTTCTGCTTTGAGGTAGAAACAATTGGTAAGTAGAGAAGGTCCTAAGTGGTCCCAGAGGCTACATTTTCTGGCAAATAAATTAGGCCAGAGTGCATAAGGAGCTCTGGCCTTGAGAGCAGATGGCACAATGCAGCTTTAATCCAGGTGCTTTAGTCCTCTTCTGCCCTTTAAATCATATTTACATGCTGCCAGCTCGCAGTGGCTGTGCTGTCCCCAACCCTGTCTCTATGTATTAGCCTGAGAAACCGTAAGTGGTATGGTCCATAATTACATAAAAGAGCAAACTAAGAATAAAATACAAAGGCTGACTATACCCCAGGGGCTTTCTTGGTTGACCTGTATGGATGTGGGCAGGAACTGATCTCCCTCCTGCTCTCCTAATTGTGGAATAGAATGGGAGGAATTTTTAAAAATCTTTTCCTCTTGCATGGGGAAAATAAGAGCATTTCACAGCTTAATCCTTGGATATTTCATTTATTGTCTACAATACAACTAATGCTGAGGTAGGGTACCTCTTAAAATCTGAGGAACTTGAAAAGCCTAGTCTGCAGCTATCTCCCGGGTGACTTGCTGCATCCAGAGTCCAGGACAGCACCCCATTTACTATCTCATTGTGGTCTGTGATAAACTGGAATAGCCTAGAAAAATTGTGGGTTGCATCTGTCCATGCAAGGCTTGGAATACATCCATTTCCTATGAGGAGAAATAAAGATCAAAGGGAAAGTTATTTTTGGTACTGTATTTTTTCTTTGTTCCTCTGCTGTGGGGTTGTTTGTACAAATTAAGCCTGTGATGGAAGGACTTGACAGAACCCACACTTGTCTTATGTGGGCCAGGTTTTCATGTGGTTGAGCATGTGGGCAGCTGACACTTCTGAATACAGGAAAGTATCTTGGAACTCTGCTGAAATAGCTGTGTGAACAACAACAATAGCAGCTGCTGCAGCTTTTGGCACAGCAGTAATAGCTATGCTTGCAGCTGTGACAGCAACAGAAGCCACGGGAAAGCCTGGAACACTCTGGCTGCACTCAGTGCTGGCTGCTGTGCTGTGACCACCTTTTATGTGACAGAAGTGTTAGAGCAGATGGTTAATTAAAATCCAACAAAGAGTGGGCCCCCAGGCTACAGATACCCTCCTCCTTAGATTCCCATCTGTGTAGTGTGTGAAAGGTTGGACTTCAGCATAGAGCTACAGACTGTCCCATTGTTTCCTTAAGGGGCTTATGGAGGAGGGAGAGGGACCTGCTAGCACCATGTCAGCCTATGGAACTTGCTGTTGTGTATCATTCAGGTTTGTAAAGTACAATAATGTAACACACCAATAATGTAGGCTGGGAAGCAGCCTTGCACAAAGGTATCTGAGTGTCAAAACCAGTGCACAACAAATCAATCTTGAGCCAGAAAATAAAGCCATCCTGGGCTCCATCAGGAAGAACACTGCCAGCAAGCTGAGGGGTGATGATACTTCCTCAGCCCTCATGAGAGAGTTCTGGAATGCTGGGTCTAGTGCTGGATTCCCTGGTAGAATGGAGACACTGACAGCCTGGAGTGAGACCTTCAAAGGGCAATCAAAGGCAATTAGGAGACTGGACCATCTGTCATACAAAGAGACGCTGACAGATGTGAGACTGTTGTCTCTAGAAGGCTCAGAGGATCTTTTCAATGTCTAAAAATAGATTATGAGAGGAAGTAAAGAAGGCACTGGTCTCTTTAGTGGTATTCAATGACAAAATGGACCCAAACCGAAGTACAAGAAATTCCATTTAAGTGTAAGAAAAACCTTTGCCATTCCAAAAGCAACCAAACACTGATGAAAGAGCTGGACTGAGGAGGTTGTGGTATGTATAATCTTGAAGATTCTCAAACCTCAAACTTTATAAAGCTCTGAGCGATCATTTGTGATTTGCTCTGGGCAGAAGGGTTGGATTAGATGATCTCTAAAGATTCCTGCCAACTTCAACCTTTCAGCAGTCCTTTGATAGAGCAGCCTCATAACAAAGAGTAATTTTGCTCCTCGAATAACAATATACACATTGTTATACAATGAAAATTTGCTAAAGAACAAGGGAGAAGGCCCAAGATGGATGTCTAGAGGATTGGGTAAGTAGCTAGAAGATGGTCATATATATCTCATGGACTAGATTGGTCTGTGGGACTGAGTTCTCTGAAACATACCGGCCCTCTCGACACTGAGGTAAGTGGTGACTGGCACACTGAGAGCAGCACAGATGGGATTTATCTTTTCATTTTTTACTTAGTTGATAGCTCCATGAATGTCAGCTTGAGGAAAAAGCCTTTCACACAACTTGTGTGCAAATTTTACAAATAATAGGCAAAGTCTAGCACTGAGCTGACTTGACAGAAGCAGGACCTTTGGCAGTGAATGAGAGTGGGTGGTAATTGCCCTCAAAATGAATAATGGCATTTTATCTTGTAGAAGGGTGGGAGTGGGTAGATGAACAGGAGGAATTAAGATGAGAGGGTTAAAATAATATGGGCTGGATGAATGACTAAAACATTCTGCAGAAGTCTGGATGTATCAAAATGGTGTGGGTCACTGTCAGCAAACAGAATGTTACAAGAGAAAATATTTAGCTGTGTGAATAGATGGGGAAAGCTGTGATTTAGTGCTGTTGTACTAGAAAATGCCAGCAAGGGAGTTATGTAAAGCATGTAAAGATGGAGTCCAGAGAGTTCTCTAAGACTAAGGCATCAACCAAGCTGTGGGCCCTGCAGACATATGGTTATTGATATTGAAGAGATAGAGATGAGTGCCAAGAGAATCTGGACGAAAATAAAACCAATTTGTCTGTTTTGTCTGCAATGATAAAAAGAGATTTTAATTTGGATCAGAATTAATGGCTATAGTAGAAATATGGCAATGAGTCATGAGATAAATATGTATTTATTGACACAATTTCCTACAAAGAAACAGAGGCTTTGAT